CTTATCCTAAGGCCCCATTTCGTTGAAAAAACAAACCGAAATACTGTTTCGCCTGATTTGTTGGAGAGAAAATATTGTTCTGGCTGAAAAAACAAGATGAAAAGTACGGATTATAAGAGAAGCGAACAGGTCCGAGTTTTACCTCTGGAAAAGCATTTTGCCTACCTCTAAAAATCCAAATCGTACTAGAGATCCATTATTTATTCAAATTATCAGTTTTGCACTATATCAAACCTAGAGATCAACCAAGATATGCAATAATGCTAGTAAACTACTGGTAATAACGCTTAATTACCAAATCGTACTGGTAAAGCTCAATTACCAAGTCGTAAAAAACTCATTTATACGAATCCTCAAATCCCCGTTCTCACTCCCAGGCCCTGTTTGACCCCTCTAGTTTTTTTGCCGGTTTTTAAAAATTTGGCTTTTAGAAAATGGGTGGGATCAAAATAGACCAGTTTTTGCTGCTAGGTTTTACCAGATTCTTAAAAACTAAAAAGCTGTTGATGTCTAGTTTTTGGCAGTTTCTTGTGATCCAGTGAGCAATAAATAAAGTCCGATTTTTAAAAATGGGAGGATCCAAACACCCCTCAGGTTTTTGCTCAGAATCCATATTTTACATACTAGAGACAAAAACTTGTTTTTAAGAATCTGATCCAAACAGGGCCCCAGTCGACGAGTCGGCTTCTGCATTTGATCGGACCGGCTACCATCGTCTTGTCTTTTCAATGCACTCGACTCATTAGACTATCTCGAACAATGGAACCCAAAATACAAGACCCATATCATATTTGGGTAGTGTTATAGGTAAAGGTTTCAATACCTATTTTTTTGTTTTTTCCAACAACAAGACCTAAAAGAGAAACTTTTTCTGTAAATGGGTCTCGAGGCGAGAGGATACTCAAATTTAGGTTGTGTCTCTCCTGACACCAAAAATAGATCTCCTATATAGATACTTTGTTGGAAGCTGAAACAGTACTGTCGAAGACCCATTTTATGTTGCCCTTGTCGGTCACTTGTTGGAGACAATCTTAAACTTTGCGAAATGGGGATCGACGGATCGGGTGGAGCAAGCAGCGGATCGGGTGGAGCAAGCAGTAACTGCAGTACTCGCTATGCACTTGGAGGCGGAGCCTCTTGGAGTTCCCAGGCCGCTTCGTTCCCCAACACGAGCGTTTCGCTTACGCTTCGTCTCCTCTCTTCTGGGAGCGGTGGAGACGGTCAGACGGCAGCAATTACGCACGCATGCAACGCAACGCATTAACGCATAGAAGGCCAGCAGCCGCCTGGCCCGGCCTACGGCCTACCTCGATTTCCCATTGCAGCTACAAATAGACGACCTCTCCTCGCAGACATGCCTGCCGTCTATCTACAGTACCATCCATACACCAGTAAGCTCGCTTCATTTGATCATCACTCTCGTCTCCAAGAGTCCAAGCAACGGCTGCTGCACCGCGGGCTAGGTGCTACGACCTGCCAGCCATCGCCAAGATGTTCTTCGTGCTGGGTGTGGTGATCTCCTATTTGACGGCCGCGGCAGCCCCGGCCGGTGGTGGAGGCGGCGGCCACGGTGGTTGCGGCGGCAGCGGCCCCGGTGGTGACAATGGCGGCTCCCGGCGCCGCCGGGCATTTGATATCCCGAGCTGCTTTCGATGCGAACCCGCAGCTGTACTTCGCCATCCTCCACAAGGACGGCCTGGAAGCTGCCGTCCGTGCCTTTGCTCCCCGCTAGGCCGCAAGCGCTCGCGGTGAGCTAAGACAAGTAAATAAAAGATGGCGAGCGCGTGGTGATGAGTGATGACGGTGTCCTCCCAGTCGTCGCTTGCGCACGCAGCAGCAGCCTTTAATTTGGCTTTCACTATTTTATGTACTATTAGATGCAATGCCGATTATATTACTGTTACTGTTGATCTAGTACTGATCTCAATCTTTTGGCGGCTACGGCGTTGCGTAATTGCGTTATGATGTTGGATGCATGCATGCTCAGTTGCCCACCCTACCGAAACGATTGACCGTAAGTTACATACAGCTTGCGTATAGAAGACCTAGCTAGGTGATTGGATGTTTCACATCAAGCTCGTACATTACCTATCTACGTTCTTTTCTTAAACAAGGGATTCTTATCTAATACAATAGATAGTAAATATCAAATTTAGAATAAATTAAGAAAACATAGTAATTTGATTTCCACCGCGTTAGAAAGCAAAATACCTAACTAAGAGTCCATATAAAGAGAAAATCCATATATACAAAACTAAAAAAAAGTTTGATCTCTGAATTTGGAAGAAAAAGAAACTGAATCTATAAATTGTAAACAGTATAAACAGCAGTTAAATTAAAAATTTTAAAAATATTATTTTTGATTTCTCTGAGTGCGAAAGAACAGCTAAGTACACTTTTTTTTTTGAGGGGGAGCTAAGTATACTGTTACTCTGTTATTAGTAGTGCTGGATACACGGGCTACATGGACCATGGCCCAAAACCTCTTTTATATCCTCTGTAATTTTGTCTGGCCCAGTCAGGTTTCCTATAAATCGCGACATAGTTCGACATAACAGTACAGGTATATCCGTTAGTCCAACATAATATTTCGATGACCAATATGTTATATTATGCCAAAATCAAGAAAAGCATTTCAGCTTTTGGTTCTACGTTGCATCTGTTCATAGTATTTTGTAAAACTCATTTAGGCCTCGTTCATTTTCTACAGAATGAGCCATTCCACGTCCGGGATACTTCCGATGTTATATAATTTTGTGAAAGAATGGTCCGACTGGGAAGGGTTCCCAAGGAACCGAACGGGCCTTAAGGTGCGTTTGGATGCTAGTAATGTTTTGGATTCTCAAGTGAATCTCCGGAATGCCTAGCAAACACTTTATTCAGTGAAGCCATTATCCGTCGAAGACCTACCAACGTTTCGCTGTATTGAACTAAGAAAGTGAATCACTCAACTAGGTGTTTTAATTTGAAGTGATTCTAGTTCATTTAGATAAGAATATGGATCAATACCCAAATGACTTTACTGGTTTAATCAATATCAAGTGATTCTATTTTAATAGAGAAATGCTTCTTGAAGAAACTAGATCCCTACCGCACCCTTAGGGCCTGATTGGTTGCCTATGCGACCTAGCCTGGCTCGTATCATAGATGCATGTTCCCACAAGACAACCTAAGAACATGCAACACTATCACGTTTGGTGCTTTATATATCGAGGCTGGTTGAAAAAAGATAGTGTTTGGTGCCGGCATTGTATGAGACAAAAGTAGATAAACATGTGTTATTGAGGTGTTTATTTTGTACAAATGTACTTTAATGGTTCTTACTTTATCTTATTAAATCTTAATATCCTTTAAAATATGTTAATATCATTTAATATACAGTAATCATACGCTAATCCAGTCATTAGTTGGTGCACTATGTGCATGCCACGGGCTTGCATGGCCAGGGACGGCCAAAGAATCTGTCTCCATAGATAAGCCTGTGGAGTTGCTTTTTGCACCAACTGAGACAGGCTCCAACTCTTGTGCAGGCATCCAAACGTAACAGACTGCATGGCGTGGGGCTGGTTCGGCTTCCATGCGGCCAACCAATTGCGGCCTTATTGTAAAAAAAAATCATTTAATTACCAATTGTTGGAAAAAATGATTTATTTATTGATTAAGACCTCGTATCCTCGTTCTCTTCCATGCCTTCAACTCATAACTTTGTGATGAAGTGGGTCGGGTTGGAGCGAGCAGTAGAGCTGAAGCACTGGCCTTGGGACCGTACGTACGTGCCCACGCTATGCAGGCGGAGGCGGAGGCGGAGCCTCTTCTGGAGTTCCCACCGATTCGTTCCCCTTCCCCAACACGCACGGGCGTTTCGCGTACGCTTCGTCTCCCTCCTTCCGGGAGCGGCGGAGACGGCAGCAATTGCCCACCCATGAGAATGCAGAGCACTGAAGGCCAGCAGACGCCTGGCGTACCTCCGTACCTCGATGTGCCGCCGCAGCCTACTACAAATAGATGACCCCTCTCTCGCAGACCTGCCACGCCCGCACTGCCAGAAGCTTGCTTGATCTGATCATCACTCTCCTCCAAGCAACAGCTGCTGCGCCATCGCCAACATGTGGTCCGCGGTGTTGGGAGCTCTGTTCTCCTATGTCGTGATGTCGGTGGTCTCCTACGTGTTCATGGCCGTCGCGGCCTGGTGGGTGAAGTGATCGGCTCCCTTGTCCTGGTGATGGCCGTCGCCGCGTTTGCTCGCTGGCGCTAGCCCGGCGAGCTAGAAATAAATAAAACAAATCGAGCGCATGGTGACGGCGTCATCCTGGTTTCGTCTTTGCTTTCACGAATCACGGATATGTAATTCCGTTTTCAGTTTCAATATATATATATATATGTGTGTGTGTGCTAGTATATATATATATTGCTCGTGTCCGTGCTTGCCGCTTGTGTTTGGTCGATCAACGGTCTTGATTTATATTGTTATTCATTCATTACGGATGCCACGATCTTGAGTGTTCATCCAGGATACACATCTTCTGCAGCTGAAAGATAAACTTCACCCACTCCGATCTGGTGATCTCGGTCGTTGGGCTTAGGTACTTGTACTTCCCTTCCTGTCAGGCTATTGTTGACTCAGCGGCCACCAGATCCATATCATTCGCCCGCCCGTACCAGCCGCGTCAGGCACCGACTCCGAATCGAAGTGAGTTCATCTTCTGCTTCATGCCTATGGGTCGCCGCTTGCCGTGCCGGGAGGCGGGAGTACGGTGCTGCCACGACGACGCTTACTCGGCAAAGTGGCCGGGCCGCAGCATCGTCCCACGTGCTAATGGAACTATGGATCGCTAGTCAGCCTCCACCAGTAAATAATTTGATCGAATCTCATGTGACCAATATAAAAAATCTTTCTTTATTCCACATTTGCATTATCGTCCCATGCTCACGTACACTTTTATTCAAACACAAGCCGCCAACCGAATCACAAATCCAAAAGCGTCAACTTCTCGAAATGATCACGGGAAGGCGAGCCCCGTTCCTCGGAGCTTCTCACGGAAGATCTCGTCCAGCCGCGCCGCCATCTCCGGCGTCATGTGGTTCGCCCAGTCCCCGGCGACACCCTTCCGGAAGAATGCGTCGCGCGGCATGGCGCGGAATCTCCCCGCGGTGCCGCTACCAGGCCTGTTCACCTCCAGCGCCTTCATCTCATCGAAGCTGCACAGCTCCACGACGTCCGCGACGTCCTCGGCGGCCGAGAACGGGCACCCCATGAACTCGGCCAGCCGCCGCACGTTGCCGGCGGGGTCGTGCAGCAGGTCCTCGTACCTGAGGAAGAGCGCCCTGTCCGGGCACGCCACGCTCGCGCGCCAGTAGGAGAGGACGTGGTCCCACACCGGGCCGGCCACCACAGTGCCGTCGCAGACGGACTCGAACGTGTCGGCGAACGAGAGGTCCGGCTTCGCGCGCCGGAGGAAGTGCCAGAGCGAGACCACCATGTCCTTGGGGTCCCTGCACACGTACGCGACCCTGCACCCGGTGACGACGGGCGCCGGGAGCAGGGCATAGGGCGGGCGGACGGGGCGGTCGCCCTGGGCCCCCAATTCCCTGGGGGCCCATCCCAGGTATATATACCGTATATTGCGTGGTTAAGAGGCTAAGAGCTTTAAGCAGCGAATAGTTTCCGTCGTTGCTACCTGCAGGTATGCTGCCTCTCGCTGCAACTGCAACAACCTGACGATTCTCATGCGAGCTATTTTTGTGAAGTCGTTTGGTTACTGCAGATAAGCGCGATGGGTCCTGATGGCTCCAACATATAATTTAGGCTCAGTTATTATATATATAACATTATATATATTATTATTCTTTATTAGAGATAGCACATTACGTTGCATTTCATGCAACTCGCTGCTAACTTGCTTTCTTCATCTTCTTCTATTAAACCAAAATTTACTTTACCGCAATTTGCTAGCTTCCTTCACTATCTTCTTGCATCTTCAAAGCGCACATGATTATGCATGCACCCGTATAGTAAAATCTTAACCTGCTTCTTTTATTTCTTTTTTAAATATTTTGTACAAAATCTAGTCAAACGGAAAAAATAAAAAAATGAGTATGAGTAGATGAATTAATACAATCACACATAGAGATTTATAAAGAAGTTTTTTAAGAGTAATTCAAGCGCTTCAAGAGATCCAAACAAGATGGTGATATGGTTGTCAAGGAACCAGAGTATACCATCATTATAGTGACAGAAAATTTGAAGGTATTTTAATATATATGTATGTATGTATGTATGTATGTATTGTTTCTTTGAATATCGCTTTTGTATATGTAGCTAAGCGTTTATCATTAACTATTTTATACATATAAGTGTTTAAGCATGTGTATATAAGGGGCCCCTAGATTTTGGTTTTGCTCCGGGCCCCTAAAAATTCAGGGCCGGCCCTGCATAGGGCAGGTGCGTGTTCATCAGCCGCGGCGACGGGAGCGCGTCGAGCTTCGCGTCCTCCCCGGTGGCGAAGATGTCGTCGATGAACGGGACGCAGTCGTGCGGGTTGAGCCGGCGGAGCGGGTGCCCCGCGCTGGCCGGCGGGTACGCCGTACGCGCCGCCGTGGCGAAGGCCAGCGCCTTCAGCCACGTGGTGCCACACTTGGGGTAGCTGGCCAGGATCACGTCGTCGGGGCGCGGCGAGAAGCGGCGCTGGAACACGATGGTCCCCGGCACCCAGTGCTCCGGCAGCCAGAAGCCCTGGTACAGGCGCAGCTCCAGGATGGACTGCTCCCTGCGCGGCAGGGAGGCCACGAGGTCGCCGAACTCCTCCTTGGGAGTGTGCTCCGGGACCGTGCCATCGTCGACGTCGTTGAACGGGACGGGGCCGGACGGAGCCACCGAGTTGGAGGCGGCGGCGGCGGCGGCCATGGAAGTGATGAGAAGCCGAGGGCGCGCGCGTGGAGGCAGAGAAGTGAAGCAAGTGCTCTGTCACCGACCGACAGTGTGGTTTCCGGGCGAGTGGTCGCGCGTATATAACGAATATGGTGAGGTGGACCAATCATGCAAGCTCCTCTGAACTTTACTGATATTGTTTAGGGTGTCACATGGAGTGTCAAATGAGATTATCTAATGGGTGTTTGATATTAATAAAAACTAAATAACAAAATCCACATGTGTTACTGTAGCACTACGTTGTCAAATTATGGACTAATTAGGCTTAAAAGTTTCGTCTCGTAAATTAGTCACAAACTATGTAATTAATTATTTTTTAATCTATATTTAATACTTTATATATGTATCAAATATTTGATGGGACATGAATTAAACTTTAAGAGGAGAAACTAAATAGGACCCTGATCAGGATCAAGCAAAATTGGACTTGGCTGCTGACCACGTGGTCTAGAGTTTTTCTGTTTAACAATGAGCCGGGTGCTAACTTGGCGCGCCCGTCAAGACAAGCAGCAAAGCTCCAAAGTCCAAGCCCCCATCCATCCGCTTCAGAATTCTGCGTATTTTGACCGCTTTTCTGTTATTTGCTTATTTTCAGAAATGTCTCTATCCAAATTCTGTGTAGTTTCAACTTACAACTTACTACTAGTACATTCACTTTTCGTCCCTAGCTGTGTCTCAGCGCCAGAGACATTTCTGAAAATAAGCAAATATCACACATTGCTTATTATACCCATCCATCCATCCATTGTAGTTTCAACTTACAACTTACTACTAGTCACTTAGAATTTTTAAGATTTTTTTTTCAAGCTGGCAAGATAATTTGTTATAGAAATTAGAGAACGAAGGACAAGGGCTATGTCTAAATCTGTAATTTGTGAATCGAACTTTGTACGCAGATGATTAATTGATTCATGTCAGGCATAGAGATGTAACAGTAAGATGAAAAAAGTTTTGTCGCTAAACAGGTATCACTAAAAAAAACTTTCTGTTCGACAATCTTACTATTATTCTTATGATACATGCTTGAAAAAAATAAATCTTAAAAATTCAGATATCACACATTGCTAGATAAAAACTCTAATTGAATCGACAATAATAGCCCTTAGATTTTGTTATTTCTGAAAGATTTCTAACATATATACCATTATTGATATACTTTAAAATAAATTATTTATACCTAAACAACACATATCTTCTATTGTAAAACATAACCTGCCTTATTGAAAAACTCGCCACACACAACAGATCTGTTTTTTTTAAAAAAAATCAAATGATCCTCCCTCTCTCCCCTTTGTGTAGGTGTCAGTGTGATCGTCATGAGCTCCACCGCTAAGGTCCCCAAATCCATTCTGGCGACCGTTCATTGGATTTTAGCCCAGCGAACGATCTGACCGGCAAAGCTGCACGCGCCCGCACAGTCTCTAGCTGCCTAGACGTCACTTTTAAAAAATAATATATTTATTTCAAAATGCTGTACTTCTAAATGGTGTATCCATTTTTAATTACGTCTGCACCGGTGTGTTCTACGCAACAAAGTGAACAAAACTAGATCACACTCGCATATGTTTTGAAAAAAAATTAGTAACAATTTATGTATATTCACTTATTAGAACGTATAACTTATAATTTGCAACTTATGCACACAAGTTATATCGAATAACATATGTACACAAGTTGTATAAAATAACTTATATACACAAGTTGTATTGAATAACTTATGTACATAAGTTGTGTTTGATAACTTTTGTACATAAGTTGTGTTTTATAACTTTTGTGTTTCTAGGTTTTGGTAAAAGTTAAAAGTTAATTTGTTTCTTTATGTGTTAATAGCTTTTGTGTTTGCAAGTTTTGGCACAAGTTATAAGTTAATTCGTTCTTTTGTGTTTAATAACTCTTTGTAAATAAGTTCTGTTTGCATAACTCTTGAGTTTTCAAGTTTTTCACATAAGTTATATGTTATAAATTATATGTTATAAGTTGTATGTTATAAGTCAGTACACATAACTTGCTACTAGAAAAAAAATCTTTAAAACATAACTGCTATTAAAAATAATTCTTCATCTCGTTGCATAGAACACATCGGTGTAGACGGAATTAAAAACAGATACACCGTTTAGAAGTTATATCAATTTAAAATAAATGTTTTGCTTTTTTCCCCTATATCAGCGCTGACATCAGCATGCAGGGGTGAGTGCGTGCGCAGCCGAGAACCCAAAAGATAATGACTGAGCGCACTTGCACCGTCCAGAGCAGCAAAAAGGTGGAATATTTTTTTCTAAAAAAGAAAATAAAAGCATGTTGGAAATTTGTTCGCTGGCTTCAATTCCAATGATCGCTCGCTATTTAGTCTGCCTGGCTAAGGTCTAGCCACAGACTAGATTTTTTTCAAGTATTATTTTTTTCAATGGTATTAGGCCAAACCTGTTGCAAAAATCTGTTTGCTTGCCATTCATCCAATGGTGTCTTAAAAAAACTAAGGCATGTAGTTTAACATGATTATGTTGTATTCCATCCAAATAGCTCATAGGAAACGATATGACTAGCGTCCGGACGTCCCGACTCTAGGCCCTGTCCGGACTCCCGCACCTGCCCCATCTCCTGCGTAAGCTGCTGTGCCTATATCGTTGTTTGATGACTGGCAACTTGTCGTGGGGTTACCGGAGATGATGTTTGAAGGGCTTCGGCGTACGCAGAACTCGACAGTAAACACAAAGAGACGAGCAATTTATACTGGTTTGGGCCCTCTTGTCAAGTAATAGCCTTTACGTCCAGTCGACGTGTAGCCTTTTACGTTGGATTGATTGTATGATTGTGTGTCATGGCCTGCCGATATAGGGAGCCCTGCCCTCCTTTATATAGCCCAGAAGGTAAGTCTCCTAGTCGGTTATAATATAAGAGTCATAGTAGAATTAAAGGATAGTAATGTTACTAGTATTACATGCGGAGAATTCCTAGCCGGACTAGATCTTCTCCCTTCCTTGCGGGGTACCCGGGGACTATGTCCCACAAGCCCCCGAGCGCTGTATGGTTGATCTTGGAAGCCTTCTTGTTTCTCCAGGTCTTGCCGAGTAGAAATAAGCTTCGTCCGAGTGCTTTCTGAGAGAAACCATGTAGTGCTTCTTGAAATCTTCGAGTGGTGTGCACTTTTCGGAAAAGTGCACTCACTAAGAGTAGCCCCCGAACCTCTTGTTGTTTGGAACAATGAGTTAGAGGGTCTTGTCTGCAATTCCTTTTCGAAGAAATTTGAAAGCATCCTCTGAGGATATGTATCCCGCAGCCCCCGAGCCTAAAGCCTACTACTCGGAGTCGACTATAGGATCTTGTAGATGTCTTTAAGGGTGCAGCCGAGTAACTCCCCGAAGATAATAATCAATAACCGCTTGTCGCCGAGTGGTTGAATGCTTGTAAATTTGGTCTTCCATCCTTGAATCCGAGCCCCCCGAGCGTAGTTAGAGTAAAGCCAAGTAAACTGTGACAATGGCCGAGCCCCCATGCTTAGTGGCGGGATATCCGAGTACATGGATGAGCATATACATATACGCCTGTAGTAAAAGCGTGTATGTATGTATGATTTAAGTCTCCCAATAGCTTGCAAACTTGTCATCATCTTGCATGTTGCTGTAGAACATGCTCCTTGGCGTTGACCTCATGTTGGAGTCTGATCCCAAAAATCTCGTTCTGTACGTATACATGCCGGAGGAACAGTAGAAGACGAGCGAGATGCTGACGTTGTAGTCGGCGAGGTGAAAGCTGCACGCATTGGCTTCGTAGAGCTGCCCGTGCTAGTCGCACGTGATGACACAGCCTGGCTTTTGACGTTTGCATGTCTTCGTTGATGCGGTGTCTTGTTGAAATGCTGAACGCCCGGAGCCGTCGCGGCTCGCCGCAACGCTAGGTGTCGTCGCAAGTTGCCGAGGGATGCCGCCGTCGTGAACTCGTGATAACGCTGCAGTTCTGTGATAATCCGAGTTGCTACGAGCACCGAGTACATGCCGTATGTACGTGATGCATGCTGGGTGGATGTGCACATGCATGTGTATATGCAAGTATCTTGATTTAGTCGACCAAAGTCTGAGAGCCAAGTCCGAGGGCCGGCATCCCATGCCGAGTAGCATGTAGTCGAACCGATGAAGTTTCAGCTGTTCCATGTTGGTCCGACTTGAATATGCGTGCCCTTCGTGGCAACTAGGACGACCGCCGAGTAATATGCTTCCGAGTGGAAAGCTTTGTAGTAGATTATAGCCGCTGCAGTTGGATCCGGGTAAGGAAAATAATCGACCGCGTCCTGATTGAGATAGGACGAGTCAAATTTTGATGACCGCATCCTGATTTATTTTGGGACGAGTCGATTGTAAGTGTATTGTCTCAACACTTGAGGGGTGGACGTAGTTGACCAGACGCCTCGATCGACTTCAGAGTCGTAAAGGACGAGTCTGTCCGAGTGCATTTGTTAGCACGGTAGAGCAAGAGACTAGTTGACTGCTTCCCTACGCTAAGAAGGACGTTGAAGAGATAGTTTTCACCTTTGCTAATTAGTTGAACTTGTCGTAGACTAGCCTGTAGCCTATAGACAATGTAAGACCGTATGGAATCGTCAATGGATTCTGTTAGTCTGTTGATAAGCTGAGTGCCTTTCAAGGTTTGGCCTGGTTGAGTAACTTTTTGTACAAAGTTGTTTTTTGGACTGGGTAATCTGTGGATGAGATTGTAGTCTACATGAGTTAGGCTTATGTTGTCTTGTGTAGTCTTTTGAAAGGCGCATAAGACGAATTAACAAGTAAAGAGTAATCAACGTAGTCATTATGATTTAAATCATGTTAGACACTTCCATCGATGTTAAGTGCGCAATGTCACTTGTTCAAGGAGCCTTTGTAGCGATTGTTCACTGTTAGGATCCCGCCCTATAGCGAACGAATCAGGTACCTTGCTTCCTGGAATCACCCTATCCAGGACAACATGTGATAGTCAGACCAAAT